AAATGGGCAAAAGTGGGTGCAGTTGAAGTGAGAAGTGTTTTCTCTCGTGAGATGATCGATGGAAAGAAATATGTTCAAGATCTGGTTTGGGAAGATCGAAAAGAAATCGCGAAATTGTATGATGATGGAGCAAGGTTTTATACATGCGGTAGTGCAAGAAAGTTGGGTGCTTCAGTGAAAACATGTTTTGTGAAGATCATTGAAGAAATGAAACAATGTGATGAACAGGCAGCAGGAAAAATATTAGAGAATATGTCATTGGATCGATTTAGCATTGATGTTTTTGTTTAAAATATGAGGAATTAATTACTTTTTCTGTAAAAATTTTAAAAATTTAAGAAAAAGTTTGTCACGGTTGGCAAATCCAAATATTTCTTTTTGTTATTTATTTATGCCTGTTATTGCATGCTGTTTGATGAATTTGAACGTGAGGATTCTTTCTGTCTAAATGCCAGTTTACATGATGTCTAGTGACGTGAAGGCACGTACTGTAAGTAAATCAGCGAGAATGAAAGAAGAGGTTTTTCTCATTGGTATTCTGGTATTAACTTTAGAAATCATATATGAGAAGATGTATGCATGATTTATTTGAAAAATTCTGACGGCGTTGAGAGTATTTGAAATGATAATAACGACAATAGTTTTCAGTAATCTTGTGTTGCCGTTATTTTATCAACCGATCGATGGAAGACATTTCCTTGGCGGTTCAATGACATGGAAGGTTTGTTTTGAGAAACACCTCTGTTGATAGGCGTGTTTCTGTATTTAGCGTGGATATTCGTGGCGGCCCTGGGCATCGGAGATACGAGTTGACTTGATACAGCGATATATGTGGGAACGATATGAGAGCGACTATTGTAATGATCATATAAAATGGTTTAAATTCAGAACTTGGATCGGAAACGATGACAAAATTAAATGCTTATCGAATAACTGCTGGTTTCATTTTCATCAGATACGGGTATATGATGTATGCGTTGCTGATAGTAAAGACGACAAATGGAGTGCTATTGAGCAATGGTCGTCTATTTATATCCCAGAAAATACAGAATTTGAACTAGGTTACAGCGGTAAACTAACCCTTTCTTCCATAATTAAAATCAATGATAATTTTTCTGTAAGGCGTCTATTGGAGTAAAGAATTGAACAAAGATGAGAAGTACGAACTGTCTATCTCAACTTTTATTTCAACTAAACGTCGCCGAGATGGTAAGATATACGCTTAAAGAACGGCAAGTTTGAGTTTAAATCTCATCTTATTAAGGCGAGTTAAATACTCCACCACAAGCAGCAATGCCATACATTCAACACATACTCTTAGGTACTAATCAAACATGGAAAATTCCTGTGCACGATCCTAACGGAGACATTGTACGATGTCGATGGGCTAACAAAGCCAACGTTGACGAATGCGGAGAGTTCGTCGTACTTCTTTGAGAATTTCTTTACGAATATTATTTTTGATTTTGATAGTATTTGTGGTTCACCACCCAATGCGCAGCTGAATGGAAGTGATTGCACCCTAACTTATCATGCACAAGAAGATAAATCCGTAGTCATCGCAATAATAATTGAAGATTTCTTACAAAAACCACTGATAACGCGTCTCTCTGCTACTTCCTTACAGTTCTTAATTCGAGTTCATCGTCCAACAAATGCTCAATGCTATGACCGTATGCTTTCATATTGCGTAGGAAACTTCCTTAGTTTGGAAATATTTTCAGCTCCTCGATATGTGAAGTCATCAAGAAACGAGTCGATAGTAAACGGTTCTGTGTGCCAAAAACTCACCGAGCAAGTGTTTTTTAATCCTGGTTGCCACAATGCTAAGATAGACAACGTTCAAACTCATGGTCCATCTGGTAAAAAATAAATGCTGGTGATAAGTTCTATCTTCTGATTTCCTATTTGATTCAGACATGATTGTGAGCACACCGGAACAATATCAAAATTCTTTCATAGTCAATATTGAATGGACGCCGACATCGAATGACGAAGGGACTCATTTCTTGTGTCTTCGACCTGTAAGCATACGTTTTCCTACGGCTGCAATAGAAATCGAAAAAGAAAATTATAGATCGATAATCATAAACGATATGGTGATCAAAAGTGCCTCGAATATTTAATCATTAATAATAACACAAATGAAAATTCGGATAATTTCTACAATAATTATGTACCTAGTAATTTTTTTTTGAACAATAGATTTACTGGTTGAATGAAAAATTTGTTTGTTTTTAGAAAACATGACACCGGTAGGTCTGGTGAACTCAAGTCAAAACCAATGGACGTTTCGATGTGGTCGGTCTATGAAATGGTCGAATCGATCGAACACTTATATTCGTTTTTACGCGAAATCATCGAATGAAGAGGTCTATACGATCAATGTTCAAACAAATCATACAGTATTGGGTATATCAAAAGGATCATTTATTTTTAATACTAACATCAATTGGACTGAAGTGAGAAATCCATCATGGTTATGTGTAATTGTGAGATCTATTTGTAGGGCGAAGAGTACTATATTCAATTGGACAGGTAAAAAAAAATCTTGTTTTGATTCTTTTGACAAACGAAACATTGCAGAGGTATCCTGACAGATGAGACAAAGTGCAGTCGATTAAGTCCTGCTATGCATGATTCATCCTTCTGGACATTTGAAATATTTTCCAAAAACAATAGTAAGTTTGCCAACGAGTGAAGAAATACCATAATCATGTTTTCGTATAGAAACCAAACCACCTTCGCTTTTTTTCGTACCTGTCTGCGAGTATGGCTCTGCATGTGACGTGTTCAACAAATATTGCTCTCAATCAAATCCGTGCCAAAATAATGGCACTTGTCGCAATCGAAACACACTTCTCCATCGATACAGTTGTGAATGTCCCGCGAACTTCAGTGGAGTTCATTGTGAAATCGATGATCGTCCATGTCATCCAAATCCTTGTTGGAACACTGGTGAGCAAACATTTCTTCTCAACTGTAATTTCACTTTCTCTTCTCCCCGTCAGGCAAATGTAATCCAACATCAAATACCACATTTAACTGCTCTTGCGAATCACCATGGGAAGGTCGTGTGTGCGAAAAGAGAATCAACAAGTGTGAAGGAATCACTTGTCAGAATAGAGGAATTTGTGAAAGTTTATCGAACAATTGGACTTGCCATTGTCTTGTCGGTAGTTATGGGCGTTACTGCGAATTTTCAACGACAAGAGTTATTATTTACAAGATTGTTTCGAAAACATTTTCTTATGTAGCTATCATTGCTATGGCTGTTGTAGCTATTTTTGTCGTCGTTATGGATGTATTGAAATATGGATTCGGTATTGATCCGGTGCAAGGCGAGCGTGAAAGACTTCGACGAGAACGACGAGCTAAAGCACGCCATTACGTCGTACGGCGATATAAATATGTTAATCGAAAGGACGAAGCACATGTTTCTTCAGCTTCTTTTTCAGTCGCGGTGGAAACTAAAGTCTAGCTTTTTCTCCGCTGTTCGGGCTTATGATATTTTTATTGAATTTCAGTGCGCTCTACAAAGAAATGGTCAAACGCGTCCTTTTCTTTCTTAGCTTTTTAAATAACTGCTTTGAACTCGGTGTGATCGAATTGCGAGATCTGCTTATGTCTGTGAAAAATACGAGAAATAATAAAAGAAACAGAAAGTTTATCTTACTGTGTTCTGTTCTAAACCTTCGCCGATACCCTGAACATCTTTATCTTTGATTTGATTGCTACACAGACTGATCCCGATGAGTGTCTTGTTCTTTTGTAATCCAATTCCAATATGTTGCGCATCTCCATCGCCGATTTGATTGTTATCCAGAACGAGTTCTGACAGTGTCTAAACAAAACTAATAGTGATAACCGTAATCGCAGGAAAAAGACAGATTTATTTTACCGTATTCTTTGCAACATTTCACCAAAATTCCGCATACCATCATCGCCAGTTTGATTATAGGAATGATTGAGCAGGAAAAGTGCCCATGTACGGTCAATGTGATGAATATAAGAAAAGTGATGTTGCTCTTACAGTGTTATTTTTTAGGTTTTGTTCAAGGCACTGAACATATTTGATTGCGATTTATTTTCCGCCTTTGACATCAATTTCATTGTGATTAAGGTTAGTTTTGCAACAGTCTGATTAAAATACACGAGAAAAAGTCTACTCCTTTCTTACTATATTCTGATATACTCTCTCATCGTCTGTGCGATTGCTGGATAGACCCAGTGTGGTCAATGTCTATAAATATCATTGTAAGAATAAAAGGACGTTCAAGCCAATTTCCTCTTACTAGATTCTTCTACTGCATCTACATGAAAGAGCAATTAAACAACGTGTAGAGAGAAAGTTTTTTCATCACATGATTTCTTTGAAATTCGTCGGCACAGTACTGCACACTATCGTCACCAATTAGATTATTGTACAGATCGAGTTTAACGAGTCTCCGCATAGAGAATGAAATGAAACACAAGAATAAACATCACACGATGCGCTTGATTATTTAATAGGGGATAATGAGTTGTAATTTGCATACAATTATCAATGTAGTTCCCTTCGCTTAATTATAAATCAGTTTGATTTTTGTTTTCATTGATCTTGCGTGATATTCGTGAGTTTTTATGGACTGATAGTACTGTCTTTTGTGCCATATTTCGAAAAGGACCAACTTCAATTTTTATGTATGTCTTTGCGAGCAACGTGCTTTTCAAACCGGTATATTTAAGGTAAGGAAAGAAAAATTCGAATGACATATTTTTCAAAGTTTAACAAGCAAGCGTTTTTGCTTGTTTTACTTCTGTAACTTTGAAAAAGTGCCACATCATCAAAACAACATTACATCGTGAGTAAAGTAACAAAGTCCTTTTTCCGATTATTCACACTGTCAAGTTTGTGGTGCTGTTTAATTCACAGGAGTGATGCGTCGGCAACATTGATTGAAATGAACATCAAACAGAACATACTTCAGTTGTCGACGAAATCGAGCTGAGGCACAGAAATAGATATAAAATGGACTCTAAACAGAAATATATCTCTATGTACATATTTGAAATGTGACGCAGCACCTACCGCAAAGTATAAGTAATATACAGACAAAGCGATCGAATTCGTAGCCTGCAAATTGTTAAAAATAGCCGGATGGTCATTCGCATTGAATACCAATAGAAGACAATATACAACAATGTAAGGCGTTATTGTGAAGAAAGTGATCACACTCTGTACGAGAACAATGATCGTTATTTGCCTATCTAACTCACGTCGAACTAAAGGTACTGTTTGACGTGCTAGTTGTTGAATATTTCTGTAAGACAAGATGCCAAATAAGATTATCAAACCAATTGGTAAAATTCTCGTCAAAGTGATTCCAGAGACATAATTCATATAGCGTTGGAATATGTCATTTGTACTTGTACATGTGATTCCACCCGTTGTTGGTGATTGATTGTGAACATAGTAAATTGCATATGGAATGTTGCAAATCAACCCAAGCAAAACGACTAAAATAGCCAATCGATGAGCAACTCTAATGTTACTCCATTGTTGCCACTGCGGACGTGAACATGTTGAGAGATACTGATCGATTGTTGCTAAGCTCAAATATGCAAGTGAAACATTCGAAAAAGTTTGTAATGAATATGTTCGAAATTTACAATAGAACAAAGATGTTTGTGTCCAATCAATTGAATATCCGCTGATTAATATTCGAGTTAGTTGACCGCTTATTAATATTCCAAGATTTGATATTGACATGATCGTTAAATAGAATGCCGATGAACTTTGTCGAAATGTTTTCAAACTAAGGAAAACAATGATGTTGAGAAGTCCACCAAGAATACCTGCGACTAAAGCAAATATGCCCAAATAAATTGAGAGGTTCTGTGCAGCTAATGCTAACGACGACATTTTGATCTTCTTATGACTTCTCAAATATAGTTTGTCCAAGATTCTTTCCAAGTACAAAGATTTTTCTGAAGTAGAAAAAGTTAACCTAATGGGTATATAATTAATTTATTTGATTATAGTACTAACTGCGTCTTTTTCATACATTTTGTTTTAATTATCAGATGATTAAAAGAAATTCCAAATGGAATCTGTTTCTTTTAAGTTTAACGATCCAATTAAGTTTGCCGGAAGTATTACTTTAAAGTTGAATGATATGAAATCTTCCAAGTATTAGTGAGTATGTGTCACCCACTTCTTCAAGAAAAGATTTTGAAAAAGAAACGAACCAAATATGTCAATCGATTCGGTACATACTCAGTTGAATGCGAACTAGAACATCTAGACAGTTATCATCATGACTTTGCAGACGAGAGTAGTCAGACGTTCTCTAGTGTTTAATAATCTATGTATTCATAATTAAAGAATAGAAAAAAAAAACAAGATCATTTCATTTGAGTTTCTCTGTTCGACATGGAAGTAGATAGTGATTATTTGAGAATGTCACGACATATCATATTTTAAAATCTTCAAATTCTAATATTCTATATTCAGTTTTTCATCAGACAAACATTGTTGAGATGAATTAGATGGAGGACACTGCGAAACAGTGTAATTGATTTGGTTTAATCTTTGTAAAACGACTGGAAAATTTAAAGAAGATGCTCATTTATGAAGCGCGTTCCTTAGTGAGTATTTGTACAATTCGAAATTTATTTGATTTCAAATTCGTTTTCCGATTAGATGACTTTACATAAAACATTTTGAGAAGAAGTTCACGAAATGAATTCCCTATATTTCTAGAAGAATGAGCAAATGTTTCTTTAGTTTTCGAAGTCGTCTAAAAGATAAATTATGAATTCAACTATCGATTATCGTTCATGATTTGTCTTCATGTCATTTATATGAAAGGGTTCCAGTAAATACTTACAAATTATTATAAATATATAGTTTCTCTCGAATTATATGTTGTTGCTCATCATCAACATAGTATTTATACTCATCTTCCATGAGCTTTTTTCTTACTAATCTTGATTCACTGATATATTCACCATTCATAATTGAATATCTCTAGTTTATTTTCAGAAAGCATGAAGATCCATATGAACAATACTGATATGCTTTCATATTCTTTCGAAAAGAAATATGAAAAATGGTGACAGTTGTTATAAACAGACCTTTCATTCGATCTGAAATTTTTTCTTGAACAGACCATTCTCATCTCAGTCAAAATGTGTCCCGAAATTCAAATGCGAAAGTAAATCGAACTTGAAGATCGACGTTGTACACATATCCGATTGAGTATTTTTCTATAGGAAAATTATATTTTTTCTTTACTTGGTTAAACACCACTCCTATGGTTTAGGACACTTTAATGAAAAATAATTTTCCAATTAAAGATGACAGTCTTATTTATTTGGATACTTTCGGAAGTTTATCTCTTATGTAAATTAGCGTTCTGCATTGCAATCATATTCAATGCATTGCTATACACCTGTTTTTTTTTCTTTTTCATTCTCTTAATCCCACCTTTTTACTATTTTTTCCGTCGAACATGACTGACGACGGAAAATAAAAATTTCGTTTTTCAATATTTTCTGATTCATGATTGTACAAATATCATTTTTCTACACTATATATTTTCTCTAAGGTAAAATTGGTATAACAAAATCTGTAACTGTTTGTAATTTCCATAGTGCAATTCGACTTCTCATTCAACAAAATGAATCAAGAAAATTTCGCAAAGAACATTTCTACATCATCAAAGGTTGTTCATCCAATGACACCATCATCATCTGATATCTTTTATCCTAGACGACGTTTTACTCAAGATTTCTTACTCATTTGGTTAAATATTGATGATAACCGATTAAACGAAGATCAGGAAAATCTGTTAGCACAATTACGAAATATCGTCAATGATGTGCACATTTTTACTCAACGTGACGAATGCATTGACTTTCTCACTGATATCAACGATATGAAAGTTTATCTAATTCTAGAAGATACTCTTGCTCAACAAATTCTACCTCTCATTCATGACATTCATCAACTAAATGTCGTTTATATCTTACAAAATGAAGAATCAGTGAGTAAGCAATGGACGAAAGCGAAAAATATCGATACAAGGGTTCGTCATGTGTGTGACTATGTTCAACGGGATATGAAACAATATAATCAAGATTCGATTGCGATGAGCTTTGTTCAAATAGATGAAGGAATTGGTAATAAACATCTGGATCAATTAGAACCTTCATTCATGTACACTCAATTGTTCAAAGAAATTCTTCTTGAAATGGAATATGATGAAAATTCTTTGAGAGATTTCGTTAGTTACTGCCGAAAGCATAATTATGGATCGACAACGAGTATTGACCGATTTGAAAATGAATATAATAATAAATCATCTATTTGGTGGTATACATTTCCATCATTCATTTATTCTTTACTTAATTCTGCACTTCGAATGTTAGAAGTTGATACGATCATTCATATGGCCTTTTATATACGTGATCTGCATTCTCAAATCGCACAATTGTATCAACAACAACTGGATACTTATCATGAAAAGACCTTTCTGGTTTATCGAGGACAAGGTATGTCACTGACTGATTTTGACAAACTCCGAAATACAAAAGGTGGATTAATGTCTTTCAACAATTTCTTATCGACTAGTAAGAATCAAGATGTTGCTCTTGTTCTTGCCGATAGTGCTTTGGAAAAAATCGATACAGTTGGAATATTCTTTCAAATATCTGTTAATCCTACCGTTTCTTCCATTCCGTTTGCATCCATCGGCGATGTCAGTTACTTCAAAACGGAAGAAGAAATTCTTTTCTCAATGCATAGTGTCTTTCGTATCGATGAAGTAAAGCGCATTAATGAAGATCGTTTACTTTATCAGGTAGATCTTAGACTCACTTCGGATGACGATGAAGAACTTCGTATTCTCACCAATCGTATACGAGAAGAAACTGTAAATGAAACGGAATGGGAACGATTAGGTCATCTATTGCTTGAATTAAGGCAAGTCAACAAAGCAGAAGAACTATACACAGTTTTAATTGAACAAACATCGAATGAGACGAAGAAAGCATTTTATTATAATCAACTTGGCTATGTGAAAAATAATCAAGGTGATTATGAGAAAGCCATTGAATATCATGAAAGAGCAATTGAAAACTATCAAAAGAGTGATCGCACAGTTCATTTCAACAATTTGGCTATTGCTAACTTGAATATCGGTTTGACCTATCGAAACTTGGGGGAATATTCAAAAGCGCTTTCGTTTAACGAAAAGAGTCTTGAGATCTGTGAACGAATTTTACCATCAAATGAGCATTTGTTAGGCACCATTTTGAACAACATCGCTGGTCTCTATGATAACATGGGAGAGTATGCAAAAGCAATTTTATTTTATGAGAAATCATCTGAAATATTCGCGAAAGTTCTTCCTTCAAATCATCCTCGTTTGGCTACGTCTTACAATAATATTGGTTCCGTATATCGAAATATGGAAAATCATTCTAAAGCACTTTTATTTCATAACAAAGCACTTCAAATTCGACAACAAAGTCTTCCTCCAACTCATCCTGACCTGGTTGCTTCTTATCACAATATCGCGGGTGTGTATACTAGTACAGAAGAATATTCAAAAGCACTTTCATTTTATGAAAAGACGACTGAGATCTTTGAGAAAACTCTTCCATCGAATCATCCTGATTTGGCTATTTCCTATAACAATATTGCTTTGTTGTATGGAAAGATGAAAGATTATTCAAAATCACTATCATTCTACGAGAAAAGTCTTAAAATTTGCCAACAAACTCTTCCTCCAACTCATATTCAGTTGGCCGCTTTTCACAACAATATTGGTGCAGTTTATGAAAAAATGGGAGAATATTCAAAAGCACTTTCATCTTATGAAAGAGCACTTGATATTGCACAAAAAGCGCTTCCTTCAAATCATTTTCACTTAGCTTCCTTGTACAACAATATTGCCGGGATGTATGACAATATAGGAGACTATACAAAAGCACTTCTATTCTATGAAAAAGATCTGGAAATTTGTGAAAAAACGTTTTCTTCCGATCATCCTTCTTTGGCTATTTCTTATAATAATATTGGCTTGACGCATTACAACATGGGAGAATATGCAAAAGCAATTTCGTTCTATGAGAAAGGTTTTCAACTTCGACAAAAAATGTTTCCTCCAAACCATCCTCGTTTGATTACCAGCTACAATAATATCGGTGCTGCGTATAGTAAAATAGAAGAGTATTCGAAAGCGCTTTCATATTACGAAAAAGCATTAGAAATTGAAGAAAAAGTGTATTCTTCTGGTAGTCCTGAATTAGCCACTGCGTATTACAACATTGGTCTAATGTACTTTAATATGAAAGAGTACTCGAAGGCACTTCCATTTTATGAAAAAGAGCTTGAAATATGTGAAAAAACTGTTCCTCTGGATCATTTCTCGTTATCTGTTTCCTACAACAACATGGGTTTGCTTTATCGAAATATTAAACAATATTCCGAATCACTTTCGTTTTATGAAAAAGATCTCGAAGTTTCTCAAAAGATCTTTTCTGCAACTGACCTTCAACTAGTTAACATCTATAATAATATTGGTGAAGTGTATAACGACATGGGCGAATACTCAAAAGCACTTTCATATTACGAGAAAGCACTTGAAATTCAACAAAAAACTGTCCCGCCAAACCATCTAGATTTAGCTCATTCTTTCAACAATATTGGTGCAATGTATACAAGTCTAGGCCTTTACGAGAAGGCAATCTTATTTTATGAACAAGCTCTAAATAGTTTTCAAAATTCACTACCTTCTGATCATTCAACTATTGAAATTGTTCAAGGAAACATAGAGTTTGCCAAACGTAGAAATCGCAAATAATAATATCTGATGAATAAAAGAATGTTTTTAAATTTTATTTGAAATCTCTCGAATTTAAACCGTCGCATATTATGCAAACCAATAAAATCTATCGACTACTATTTCATCCAACAGTTTCTCCCTATTCTAATACCCAAACTGGTCATTCTGATACTGCAATCCTATAAGATCTGGTCAGATATCACCCTTAAATCCCACACGAAAGGATTGAATCCAATATCGAAATTAGGGCTCGAAACGGCAAAAGCGTCGCTCGGATGTTCCTCACGCATTCAAATCGATCGAAACGTTTCCAGAAAGCAACAAAGATTTATAGAAAATTGTAAGCAACCCTGCTGTTCTTAGAATCTTTGGCCGATCATAGAGGCGATAATTTGTCTGAATCTACTAGTTCTCATTGGTTGCACAAGTTTTACGTTCAGGTTTAGGGTACATCTTTTATTAAATTATCGTCATAGTTCTAGTAATTTATGGTTCTATGCTTTTAAAAATAGTGATAAAGATGTAGCACAGAAATGCGAAAAAAATAGTCAAAACTATTTGTAGGAAAACGCTATATCATGAATCTGTAGAAACGAATCGCACCTGTTTGTCTTTCGTTCTTTTTTTTCCTCTTATCTTCAACGTACTTTATATTCTGTCTTTATTTTTCTTTTTTTTTTTGCTGAGTATTCATACGAAGTAATCTGGACGAGAATCTTTAGAGCATGTTTTTTCGAAATTGTTCACTGATATTTTTATGTTATCTTCTTCAAGTGAAGTTTACCTCTCAGAATTTCACAAAAACTTCGAATGATTATTTGCAATTTGATGAAATTTTCATCTATGATCCAAAATTAGCTTATGACGACTCAAACTTCTATGCATATGCACCTTCCATAATTCAAATTGGCTCTCAATATTTTGTTCACTCGTGCCACAATCGGGTGTCCGGACAAGTGAAGGATCACATTAGCACCTAGTGCAACGAACGGAATTTGGGATGCGATGCATGTTTGCGATCCCTCGGTGGTAAGAGGAGATTTTCGTTTCAACGATCGTTCCTACAAATTTGCATTGTTCTATACGGGTGCTCCATTTGATATCTCGAAGTTCAATCAAATTGGTGTAGCTTTTTCAAATTCTCTTGTATCAGCTGATTGGATTCGATACCCGTATCCACTGATTCGCCATCCTGACATCCTTATGATTGGAAGTACCTCATATATCGACAAAGAGAAAATTGGTAACATTCGAGATCCGCAACAGCCTTTTGGAGTCGCTCAACCGACGGCCACGTCAGTGTCTGGAGGTGTAGTGCTTCTGGCGTATACCGTAGGAGACCGGTATGGTACTCGAGCAGAAGTGCGAACTGTGGATTTGTCACATCTAGATAAAGCACCTCAAGTCTCGACATATAGACTTATTACAACAAATGGACTTATCGATCCAATACATGTTGTATTAAATAATTTTGATATGACATATGATTCAGTCTTAGATCACTTCTACATTATCCGCGACGGATACCCGCAATTCGGTGGAACTAGTCCGGACTTCTTATCCCGTTCAGTCGAGCTAGCCTCAATTTCAGCAGCGGCAATGTGGTCGAACAAAACATGTCATTATAATTGGACATCTTGGGGACGAATCAATACAGTACAACTCTCAAATGCAAAACGTATTCATAATGCTGGCATTGTGCGCAATGAATGGGGAGGTTTGATAAAACCAATAAAAGTTATGGTGTCTGACGCGATAGAGTCCAATAACTTTTATACATGGTTATTCTCGAAGCGTTTACGTTTAATCCAGTTGAAATAACTTTGTTTCGTGAAGTGAAACGTTTTCAATAATGGGAGCATGTAATCATTGTTATTCGTAGTCGTTATCTATTGAAGACATTTAAAGCACTAAAGAAAGTCTTCTGTTATAAGGAAAAGTAAAACAAAATGGATTTTATTTTTCGCTAAATAAACTTAAAGGAAAATAATAGTCACCTTCTCTTTCCTCTTCTTGAAACTTAACCTTCTAGGACAAATGATACCCAAATGTTAAAGGATATTTTAATATTGATCTTTATACTCATAACACATCTCGCATCAATCAATCCAACACCAAAAACGATCCATCCTTATCAACAAAAGTTTACCAAATAATCAAACGTTATCACAACATAAATCAATGAACAACTTGTTTTATCACGATTGTCAACATTTCATTGTCACACTGATTTATTTTAATAAACATATCAAAGTTCTAATAACTTTTATCTAAAGAGAAAATTTATTCATCTCTCTTTGACCTATAGTAACATGCACAATGTTGTGGTGGTTGTATAGTTTCGCTCTTCTTCACTTAACTTATTCATTTGGTTTACATCGCACAGATAGATCATTGTACATCAAAACTGACTATCACACCTGTTTTTATTATCATATGAAAGAATATAATTCGCATGACATAAAAATTCATCTGAGTATGTTTATTCCATATTGCATTAGGAATCTATTGGCGGATGATTATCATAAGTCAGAACAATGTAACGGTGACTTACTTACATTCGATTATATGTACAAGAACAATTGGACTAGTTGGACATTGGTGAATTTGATGGCACCTTATGATTTAATAGATAATTATCAAAACTACATCGATAATAATCAACTCGTTCATCAGCAATTATATTATTGTCGTTGCAAAAATGAACAAACGTTTGGTCCACACTGTCAATACACTTTCAGAGGACAGTATGAATATCGACGTTTTCATGAATATTTTGGTGCGTATTATAATTTTAAGAACGATATGCCAATAGAATCCATGTATGAAATCACCAATGGAACATGTTATGTTGATCTAAACTGTACGGTGAATAGTCTATGTTTGCAATGGAATGAAGTGTGTGATGGTAAACGCGATTGTTTCAATGGTGAAGATGAACAAAATTGTTCGATATTTGAATTCTTCGAATGTAATGATGACTATCGATGCTTGAACGGATTTCATTGCGTACCAAAAGAGTTTACGATGGATTTTAGTTTGGACTGTACCGATGGTAGTGATGAGCAAGTTTATACTATTTGTAGTTCAAAACTGTTTCCATTTGAATGTTCAGATGTTCACTGTGGCTGGGAATCGTTTTCATGTGGTGATGGCGAATGTATTGAATTTCAATTCAATTCGAATGATCCGGATGATGAGCATTGTGAAAATCAGCGTGATTGGTATTATATACAGAATCTTTTGATCAAATCCGAGACGATGAATGAAGATTGCTGGACATCGGTCTTGTGTTTATTCGGACTGGAGAAATATTTTCCATTTGATATTACAAAATGTGTGAGAAAACTCAATGAATGCACTGAGTTGATTCGTTTTCCATTTACAAAATATTTATATTTGAATTATCATGTTTACTTTCTATATGAAAAGGAAACATCGATGAACAAAACTCGAAATATGATTAATCCAGATTATATTTGCTATGACGGACAACGGTGTTCGAAAGTATGTTCACAAAATCGAACAATAATGGATGGTATTCATACATGTTGTCCCATCAAGTTTCGGAAGAGTTTTCGAAAAAGTGAATGGGCAAATTTGTATAGTTCGGTATCTGGCGTCTTCGACAAGCAATGCTTGTCAATCTATTATCCTGAATTAGATTCTAATCGAACGAATAATTGTTCTAACTCTTTATTTCATTGCCCAAATACACAGAAATGCATTTCTCGTCATCGTGTTTTTGACGGTGTTCCAAATTGTTATGATGAATTTGATGAAGATAAAAATGTCGACTCGTGCCAACTAAATATTCCCAATCGTTTTCAATGTTCAACGTCGAAACATCAATGTATACCCAAGTACTTTGTCATGAATGGTGAAATCAATTGTGTGGATGAGTCGGATGAAAAATTCCCAGAAAAATGTTTGTATTTGTTTCAAACAAGCTACGCGTGTGACTTCATTCGAGGAATAACATCGTTTCCTATTCATAATTATGTTTTTAAAGATGTATGTAACGGAATAATTGAACACCAATATGAAAATGAAACCGACGAAAGTGATTGCCATCTTTGGCCATGTGCATCGCCATCGACATTGTGTAACGTCAAGTGGCATTGTGAGTTGATTGAATTTCAATTTAGTATTTTCAATATCTTAAGGTTTCCATAGGTCCAAATGGCTTTGATGAAGTCAGATGTCCTCACACTCATCACTCAAATACTTTTGAAAGAGTTTGCGAATTAAACGAACATGCATGTATCGATGTCCTCACTCGGAATTGGTCATGTTTACCATTAGATCGTGCAGGTGATCAATCTGTTGATTGTATTGGTGGTATCGATGAACAATATAACAACTCATGTAGCCAAAAGTAAACTAATCGTTTTCAATGTTATAATAGCACGACATGTTTATCGCCGAGCAAGTTATGTGACGGAATAGATGATTGCCCATTCGGAGCCGATGAAACAATGGTGTGTCCTTGGTTAAATATAAATTCGTCGAAGTGTGATTTAAAACGAAACTTTCGCTGTCGAGATGGAGTTTGTGTCAATCGAAAATATCAATGTGATGGGATATTTCACTGTACCGATAAAGCCGACGAATGGTTTTGTTGGAATAAAAAGCATGCGACATCGAATCAGAAAACAATGGTAGTTTCTCAGACACGTCGAGATTTATCAGGAATCGATGTAAACAAGCATTCATGGTTTTGCAATTTGGGCTTTCCAATTTATGGAATCGATAACAAGACGATCGAAAGTTGTTTATGTCCACCAGCCTTCTATGGTGAACGTTGCCAATATCAATCAAATCGAATCATTCTTACTTATCGTATCGATGTTCCCGGATATCTGGAAAATCAAATGCTCAAATTTGTCTTTTTTCTTTATAATACTAATACAACAGAAATAGTCGATTATGACGAGATTGTATTTTTACCACTAAGAACAACATTTCAACCAACGAAACATTATATTTATTTAGTTTATTCTCAAAAAGGTAAAAAACGATCATTTTCCTTCGAAACTATTCGGAAACGCTTTTTTCAGACATTAGAAATCGACAGAATGGTATGATATATGCGGTTCATGTCAATGCTTATTTTGTTACGATCTCAAATCTTGAATTTAAATGTGCTTGGCTCTTCGATATTCCTGGTCATATGAATATATTACCGGTTCAAAGAATTGTCAGTCGACTTATAATCGATGCCCAACGACTCTACTTTCAATGTTCATCGAAAAGGTATTGTAATTCCAATGGATTATGTAAACAGTACATGAATCACCCTGATCTATTCTATTGTTATTGTTATTCACAATGGTTTGGTAATCAATGTCAATATCGAATTCCATCGACTTTTTCGTCGGTATGTTCAGCAGGATCAGCAACTATTTATGATTCAGTACATATGAAATCGATTTGTATATGTCTATCGTCACAAACAGGCCCGACATGTCGCGTTCCACGTGTGTATTGTGATAAATCTATGTGCAAAAATAATGGTATATGCTTATTAATGACTGCGCGTGATTGGATTGCAAAGACTGCTTGTTTATGTTCGGAGCAATATGCGGGACAACAATGTCAGGCTGAATCATTACAAACCTCGTTGAAATTATCCGATTTTTTACTTGCAGACACGGATTTATCAGCAATTATTTATTATTTTGTTGTTTTTTTACCTACTAATCTGACAAGCAGTGCCGTACCTTATTATCATACTGAAGAAGAAGAAATTTCATTTAGGTTGAATATTAGACAAACAAAACTAATGACAACAGATTTGCAATCAATATCGACGATTTATGTTCGTCGAATGTATTATGGAACACTAATATCTGCAAGTGTAGAACATTATTTGTCAATAGTGCAAGTCTATTTTTCCAATTTGACTGAACAATTATACTATTACAATCATAATTATACAAATTCATCAATGAAGAGACTAACGGTACCCATTGGAGACAGTCGATGTTTATCCACACGTGACTTATTCAATACAACAGTATTGGAATCTCATCCATTGAAGCGTTTGAAATACTATCATCAACCGTGTATTGAAAATCTGACGACATGTTTTTATGATCATGTTTATTTATGTCTATGTAGTCATCGGTATAGATTTGCTAAATGTTATTTATTTTCATACGATCGTAGTCAATGTTCGAGAAATATTTGTCAAAATCAAGGTAAATGTTTACAGGATGATGAACGATCGAACACATTGAATACGAAATGTTTATGTCAAAAATGTTATCATGGAAAGTTATGTCAATATTCAACATCGGATTATTCCCTTTCACTTGATGTTTTACTTAGCGAAGGTTTAAATCTTCCACTCAATACACCAATGTTCGAACAAACAATTCTCATACAAATATGTTTTTATATTATCATTCTCTTTGTTTTTCTCGGTTTGATATTTAATTTGTTGACATTTGTAACATTTTGTCAAGCTGACACACGTGAGACCGGAAGTGGAATTTACCTTTTGATATTATCGATTATCAATCAATTCGATTTGGTTTTGTTGTTAATTCGATATTTCTTTCTGGTTCGATTGGAGACGAAGTTGTACTTTTGTAAATTGTTCGAATATTTAGCGAAATTTTCTCCGGCGATCAGTGATTGGCTGTCGACATTTGTGACAATTGATCGTGCTTATTCCTTATATCTTGCTCCAAAATTTGATAAAGAAATCAGTAGGAAAATTGCGAAAATTAGTATTATTTTATTGATAATTCTTCAGTTGATAATTTATTCGCATGAGTTAGTTTTTCGACAAGTCATTCAAGACCTATTGGATTATGAGAATAATCGTTTATGGTGTGTTCTTACATTTGAGAATTCCACTTGGGTGAACAAATATCATGTCATCATGAATATTTTCAACATAGTCTTACCATTTATATGTAATTTTCTTTGTGCATTGTATATCATTTGGAAAATAGCTTTGTCACATTTAAAATTACAAAAAAATCGGCAATTTTCGTCGATTTTATATAATGAATTCATCAAACATAAACACTTATTGATCTCACCATTATTATTAATTTTGTTGAATGTACCACGTTTAATATTCATGTTTATTTTTGTATGTTTTAATTTATCAATTCATTGGCAGAAATATTTATCACTTTGTATTTATTTCTTCGCATTTATGCCAAGACTTTTGACCTTCTTCGTATTTGTTCAAACTTCAACATTATACAGAGATCAAATGAAACTTTTTCTTAAAAATGCTTTTCGCTTTCGTGCATAAATATTGAATTCGTGTTGTAAAGAATGTGATATAACGAGACATATCCTATCACGCCGTGTTGCACATTCAGAAACCAGTTTCATCCCTGGAATCACGCTCTTTATTATATATCTTATCAGCTATTCAAAGTCCATTTCGCTTCAAAACATAATCGAGTGCTGGAATTGATGCAATTGACTCCGACAGCGACGAAGAATATCGGAAAGGCTAAATATAAGTAATCAATGACAAATGCCGTCAACAGTATAAACTGTACATGTGATCGAATCAGAAATGTAAGTGCTCATTTGATGAAACATTCACCACCTGCCATATCACTTACGAGTTAGTTGATCGAGAATCTAATATTACATATAGACGAAACATGTTTCATCAGTGTAATTCGGTATGAATTTTGATTAAAATTTTTATGATTGCTCGCGGTTGGAGCTTGCATGAAAGTATTCTCGAGTAAAATATCAACCAAGACTTCGAACTCGTACAAAATCCGTCGACTGTAGTCATTTAGATCTATGAAGACTAAATAAGAACATATTAGTCATTCAAGTGAATCTTCTAGAAATATATTTATCTCAAGCGTTGCATAATTATTGTGATAGAAGGATGTTATTTTGAATGAGCACTGTAATTTTCTATGCATTTTAATCAAGATGAAAACATTACGTTGTTTTGTTTGACATTCCTTATCCTCAACGTGAAGAAATGAATTATTAAAAGATTCACCTCAAGTTTTTTTCTAGTCTATCTGCTTGTGCAAGAAAATATTATCTTCTACGCACTATTCAAGCGCAAAACTAAAAATAAGGAGCTAGAGTAAGTGACATTTTGTTTCTATAAAAACCACCGAAATTTTCTTGTGTTCATCTCAATTCTTCTCTATCTAATATCATGAGCTCGTTGACAACGATTCAGATTGTACAAGGTCAACTGGTTCGTTACATGCCACTCTTTACAACCATTATCGGCACAATCGGAAATATTCTCAATTGTATTATCTTCAGTCGTCGATCACTCCGTCGTAATTCTTGTTCAATTTATTTCTTCGCATCGAGCATAGGCAACTTCTTTGCGATTTATTTCGGCTGTGTCACTCGTATATTGGGTAGTTACTCAATCAATCCCCCGCTGACACAAATGGCTCTCTATTGTAAAACCAAAACGTTCCTAACGTACATTGGTCTAGCAGGTTCTGCATGGTTTATTGTTGGAGCTTGTGCAGATCGTTATGCATCCAGTGCGTCTACTGTTCGGATTCGTTCATTCAGTCAAGTAAAAAATGCTCGTCGAGCTGTTGTTCTGATTGCCATTCTCGTCATTTTGATTTATTTTCAAATGAACTTTTGTTTTGATGGCAATGTTCAATCAGCTAATTGTTATCCGGCTACACCATTTTGTAATACTTGGAATGATTTCAACCTACTGGTCACATTCAGCTTATTTCCGCCAATATTAATGTTGATATTGGGTTGGATGACAATACGAAACGTTCGTGTAGGTCAACACTTGCGAAGAGAATCGAATTTCAAAGATCGACAGTTAACAGCGATGCTTTTCATTCAAGTCATTTGTACTGGGATACTTACTTTGCCCATTTCAGTACAGAAAATTTATTCGGAAATGACTTTGCATCAAAGCAAGACGGTTGTGGCGCAACAAATAGAAAGCTTCTTTGCGACATTCGTGGTTTTATTAGCGTTGCTCAATACTTCCACATCGTTTTATTTATTTACATTGACGGGAAAAGTTTTTCGAAAAGAATTGAAACAACTCTTTTGTACGAAACTACGGCAAACAGCTGTGGAACCAACAGCAACATTGATGAAAATGACAAATAGAAAAAGTGCTTTTCAAATAGAATAAAATCAAACGAGTCGCACGTATTAAAAAGCGAAATAAAGATGATTAATAACTATGAATAGGATCTTCTCTTTTAACGAAGATAAATGTCGCCGCCGTTAATACCTCCGGCATACATCTGTCTCTATTCGTGATACAGAGTGCATTCTATCCTGCTTGGCGCTAAAAATAACTGATGTGAAGAAATTCTATGAAAAAGGATGTGTTTATCACGCCCCTTTTCAGACTTCCATCCAATAATCATCTATTCATGAAACATAACGTCGTACTTTTATAAATGAACCGTATAGATAACGCTTGAATGAGTGATTAGAATAGTAGAAACAAAACTAACAATTAATCAGAGTCTGTGCATGTAGTACGAGGATACGAATAGCAAAATAATCTCTAAGTAAAAATTCATCGAACCTAACATTATCACCTGCAAGGTATAAAAGATAAAAATGTAGGACATGAATGAGAAAGGCAAGCAATCTTTAAAATGAAAATTTAATTATTAAACAAAGACAGGATATCAGGAATCGTCAGTTCACTTGAATAAAGGCGAAATTCATCCAATACACCTAAAAATTGACCAGTCGTGCAGTTACATATAGTAGCATTCAGTGAACTTTCCAATAAAACAAAGGCCTTCTGATCACTACCAGAATATGCAAAAGGAACAGTAAAGTTCATCGAAGTTGTATTGACATACAGCCGAAGTCCATTGTCCATACTATAAATTATTGTAACATGCGTCCACATATCTGGCATCGATACAGGTCCGTTGATCGAGATCGCATCACTTCCAGTGGATGATGTTGTGGTTAGCCGACCTGATAAACTTAAACTGAGCATACCAAGACACCACGAACCATTTCCATTGTTTGCAGACGATACATGAAGTATTGGAGAAGTTTGAATCCTATTCGGGTTAATCCAAGTCGATATTGAATACGATTGGTTAGCAATTCCTAGAAGCATCAAACCCGGTATACGAAAATACGAGTCATTGGATAGTCCCACTTGAATTGCTTGACCTATTTTTCCGTTGACACTATTTGATAAATCAAACAATGATCCATTTATTTTCAGTGGTCCGTCGTCATAAATTTACCTGCTTGTCGAGTAATATCTAATATTCCATTTAAGTAAATCGATTGATTTCGAGTGGCACAATTGAAAACATACGAGGGCATGTTGCCATTTCAATGCACTCACATTTCTTCTGCCTACAAGATCATTACAGTAAAGACTAAAAACACAATTTTCTATCTCGAATTATTAAATGTAAACGTAGATCAGTCGAAAGCGACGCACATTGAGATAGATTCAAAGACGGTGTGACGAGGATAACTGATTGATTCGATGCTATTGACAACGAAAGACTCGAGCCATAACCTGTGATCGTCGATGAATTAAAACCTGCACCGTTTTGTGAACTTCCATTGAACGTCAGCGTTGTGTCTTGATAAGTAGAATCGAATGTCCAAAGATATTCGACAATAAAATTTGACAATTTTGATTTGTTGAAAAGTAGTTCAATCCGGATATCTTTTGATTCGATAGAATCGTTTCACAAATACATTGATTTTCGATGAGATTGACTAGTGTCTGATTAAAAAAGTTCGTCACAAAATCTAAGCATTTCTATGCAAAAAAAGTGAAAGAAAACCTTATCAAATGCGATCAAACAGTTTCTTTGTTGAAAAACTAATTAATAAATATTCATCATGCACAAAACAACCATACAATACATATTTCATGTAATCCTGGTTTACCTTTCAATTAAGTTCAAGTGTTTACACAATTTTAGCGAAAAAGGACATTATTTTCATTTTGTGCATCTATTATTGATGTTATATTGTTTCATGAATCGAAGGAGCTACGACACTATGGTCTATAATAAGGATTTGTCGATCGTCCTTGCTGCTCGAAGATCGATATTGTTTAATTGAAATGATGATGTAAGATAACATAGCTAAGGTGAGATAAACAAGCTGAAGAATGATTTGTATACGTAGACGTAACACGGATGCGTACAATAAAAGAATCAGGCAGCTCGCAGTTTGCGCAAACGTCAGCAATGAGAAAGCTGTATCTTTCTTGCCAGGAAATACTGAATTATACATAGCTAGAATGAACACAGATCTCACTTTGAGTTTCATCTACAAATATTTCGCTTCTAACCTGTGATAAAAGGCTCCGTAATACCAGTTGAAATACTGGATAAACATGGAAGAATGAATAACACATACGTCTGTGAGGATGTTGGTTTCCATATCAACATGGCAATAAATACTGAGTAACTCAACAATGCTGCGAGTATGAAACACATCGGACGACTGTATTTTCGTTTGACTAAAAACACGATAACTATGGAAGATAGGGTGACAGTCACACCATACATTGTCATAATTAATCCTGAAAACACAAGAACAGAATCAATTAAACTTTGTTTTTTTTTGTTACAGTCGAATTATATACATACCAACATATTGAATTCCAATTGAACAGGTGATGAAACTCTGCAAACATACGAAATGATTGTTAGGATATTCTCATTCATCCAGGTTTAGTGAACTTACATTGGTAAACGATCTCATGAAGAACATTTGTGCCGATTCTGTCCAATATCCCAATGGAAATATGATCAAATGCATAGGTTTAAACAATGTCTTTAAAGTCGTGAATGAAAATTCGACTGATTGATGCCATATACCCTTGGAATCATCCTCTTCAAAGCAACGATATGAACAAAGATACTTTGAATATCAAATACGAACTTTTAGTCTCGCGTTTCTGACTGAGCAAAATGATCACCAACAACACGGATACCATGATCACTCCAGCGAATATACTGAAGAGAAT